TACAGCAGTGGAGTATGAAGACATCACTATCGAGAGAACTGGTATACTACAGGGCGAGAGAGAATAACGACACTCGAAGGAGAGTCGTAAAAGCAATATTAAAAAAAAAACCTTTTTTTTTAAACACGCTTTAATGAAATGTACCGTACTAGTAATGGAAGAACTCCACGACTCCAGGAAGTGGCCCCGAAGCTTGCCATAACGTAAGAGACCGTGGTCATTTACAGCCAACGTCAGTTTACCGTGGACAATTAGACCGAAGCCTAAACATAACACATAAAAAAATTAAGATTTAAAATGTTTATTTTTTATGATAGAATATAGTATTGTCATCGGTAAGACATAAGTATGTGAAGTTTGCAGTCGATGCCACATTGGGAAGTGGGTTAAAATTGAGTTACAAGATTTGAGGATACGCCACCAACAGTGAGTTAATGGAAAGTGTCTAAAAAAAAATCTCGAGTTTCACTCCACAGATGGCCATAAAACATTCACTGTTCAGAGTGAACGCAGAAGTTTTTAAAGGTTTGTGGCAGAACACCGTTATTCAGTTGTCATTCCACATCAACTATGATATTAAACAATTACAATACATTGTGTATTTCTGACGAAATGCAGCTGCACATAAACACGAGCCATTCGCTTGGCACGGTAACCCCAGACACGAGGAGGGCCCAGACTCCTGTTCTCACTCACCGTCCCCGTTTGTTTTTCCCCGTGGGAGGAGAGGTCACTGGCATCTGTGTTTTATACATCTACTAGCTTTACTACCCGGCTTCGCCCGGGACTTGGATTCAACACGCCCGGCCGCCTTTGTCTCCCCCGTGGCGATGTTCACACACCACACCAGTTACTCGTTTGAGGCTGAGTAGACCTAGGGGAGGCCCAGAAGCGGTTGAAATAATCGTCACCGGTGGTGGCCGTGAGCGGGAATCGAACTCGGGTGGCCGGGTTCGTAGCGCGGAGTAGCGCTCACCACGACACTACAATGCGTTACGCTTCAACATGCGCGGGTCACGTGATAGATGTGACGTCACAGCTCTGGCCGTGCAATACAAATATGCATTTTTGAGCTCCCCCCCCCTAAAAAAAAACCAAAAGTGTATTTTTTTATAAATTTTGCATGGTGTACAGTCTGGAAAGTACCCACATGGCAAATTTCCAGTTTGTTGCATGTCGGGAAGTACGCTAAACATTTTGAACAGGCACATTCACAACTTTGCCTTTTATATATGGAGATAAGTTGCAACTCCATGTCTTGCGAGTTCACCTCCTGCTAACCTTCTGAGTGTTAAGTCATCGAGGAAGACAGGATCCATAATGCCTGGTTTTGGGACAAGTACAGAACAAAGCATAAGAAATAATTCTGTGAGTTGAGGCCAAAATTCCCATTTAAACTGCACCGTGAAGCACACAAGTCATTATTTTCCTCTCGCAAAGCTCTGGACAAGACACCTCGTTAAACCGACTTGGCTCTTGTTATCTTGCACTGCTCTCAGAGCTTCTATGCAGATCTCGAGCTGAGACACCTCCTATGACAATAATTAATTTCATTGGACACACGCAGCTCTGTGATTTATAGGCGTTGCTTCCGTTATCACACCTTTAACCTGAAGTAATCCTTTGAATCAAATTAAAAGAAGATTCAGTTTTTTTTCCAGCAAATTTGGACTTTAGTGGATTATAGGAGTTTTAAGCCACTCCCGGAACAGATAAAATAAATATATATGGAACAGCGGAAAATCCTGCAGACTTTGGGGTGTCCCCCCTTCCCTGCGGATTTATGGGAGTTGACACGAACCACGGGGGTGGGGGGCACCAGACAGTTTTGGGTTTGCAAAAAATGTGGAGTCTGTAATAGTTCAGTGTTACAGTCTGAAGAGACGTTGCTATGTTAGCATGAATTATAGACAAGCGACCGAATGGAGCAAATACGCAGGATAGACAAGAGACCGTGGGAGACATTAAAGCTACAGGACAAAGCGAAAGTGCTAGTACAGCAGTGGAGTATGAAGGCATCACTATCGAGAGAACTGGTATACTACAGGGCGAGAGAGAATAACGAGGCTCGAAGGAGAGTCGTATAAAAGCTGGAGTTTCACTCCGCAGATGGCCATTAAACATTCACTGTTCAGAGTGCACGCAGTCCTTTTAAAGGTTTGTGGCAGAACACCGTTACTCTGTTGTCATTACACATCCACCATGATATTAAACTATTACAATACATTGTTGATTTCTGACGAAATGCGGCTGCACATAAACACGAGGCGAGCCATTCGCTTGGCGCGGTAACTCCAGACACGAGGAGGGCACAGACTCCTGTTCTCGGTCCGGCGCGTGTTTGTTTACAACGAACTCACTCGTCAAGCATGGCCAGGGTCTCCCTGCTCATGCTGCCACTACGGCCCGTGGTGCCCGCCTCCTTCTCCTCCTGGCCTCACTGTCCCTGTTTGTTTTTCCCCGTGGGAGGAGAGGTCACTGTTGGGTCTCGGGGCATCTGTGTTTTATACATCTGTAAGTGGCAATTCCATGTCTTGCGAGTTCACCGCCGGCTAACCTTCTGAGTGTTAAGTCATCGAGAAAGGCAGGAACCATAAGGACTGGTTTTGGGACAAGTACAGAACAAAGCTTAATAAATAATTCTGTGAGTTGAGGCCAAAATTCCCATTTAAACTGCACCGTGGAGCACACAAGTCATTATTTTGCTCTCGCAAAGCTCTGGACAAGACACCACGTTAAACCGACTTGGCTCTTGTTATCTTGCACTGCTCTCAGAGCTTCTATGCAGATCTCGAGCTGAGACACCTCCTATGCCAATAATTAATTTCATTGGACACACGCAGCTCTTTTCGATTTATAGGCGTTGCTTCCGTTATCACACTTTTAACCTGAAGTCATCTATGGAATCAAATTGTAAAGATTACGTTTTTTTCCAGGAAATTTGTACTTTAGCGGATTATAGGAGTTTTAAGCCACTCCCGGAACAGATAAAAAATATATATGGAACAGCGGACAATCCTGCAGACTTTGGGGTGTCCCCCCTTCCCTGCAGATTTATGGGAGTTGACACGAACCACGGGGTTGGGGGGCACCAGACAGTTTTGGGTTTGCAAAAAATGTGGAGTCTGTAATAGGTCAGTGTTACACTCTGAAGAGACGTTGCTATGTTAGCATGAATTATAGACAAGCGACCGAATGGAGCAAATACGCAGGATAGACAAGAGACCGTGGGAGACATTAAAGCTACAGGAAAAAGCGAAAGTGCTAGTACAGCAGTGGAGTATTAAGGCATCACTATCGAGAGAACCGGTATACTACAGGGCGAGAGAGAATAACGAGGCTCGAAGGAGAGTCGTATAAAAGCTGGAGTTTCACTCCGCAGATGGCAATTAAACATTCACTGTTCAGAGTGCACGCAGTCGTTTTAAAGGTTTGTGGCAGAACACCGTTACTCTGTTGTCATTACACATCCACTATGATATTAAACTATTACAATACATCGTGGATTTCTGACGAAATGCGGCTGCACATAAACACGAGGCGAGCCATTCGCTTGGCGCGGTAACCCCAGACACGGGGAGGGCCCAGACTCCTGTTCTCGGTCGGGCGCGTGTTTGTTTACAAGGTGCGGGGTCACGAACTCACTCGTCAAGCATGGCCAGGGTCTCACTGCTCATGCTGCCACTACGGCCCGTGGTGCCCGCCTCCTGGGCTCGCTGTCCCTACGGGGCTCTTAACTCGGGGCTAAGGGAGTGTTGCACCACTTGCACTCGGTTGTGTTGGGAGCTGCCTGAGGGGGCCAGGTCGATTCCATCTCCCGTCGCGTGTAGCGGGGTAAAGAGTGGGATTTCACCTCTTCCAGTGAGTCAGATCAATGTGGAGGAGTAGACCAAACACCGCTTGAGATCGCTCTCGTCGAGGCCCTTCCCTCAGCAGGGGCTTGAGCAGGTTATTGCAGAGCTGCACCTACGGTTTAGTTGTTTTATCTTCAACACGTAGTCGCCTTTCGAGATCGAAATCAATGTCGTTAAACACCACCCGACACAGACAATTAGTAAGGGTTGTTACGTAAATAAAACGTGTCAATTAGTTACTTTAGCATACCGGTGTATTGAAGAGTAAACCCACAACATTTACAAATTACTCTCCAACACACCGATGTGCTGCACTAGTAACGAATTGGCACGTTTTGTTTACGTGACAATCCTTACCAATTGGCTGTGTCGGGTGGTGGCGGGTTTAACGACATATGTATGTGTACGTGATCTAACCCAACACACTTGGTATGGACGACACTTCACCACGGCCAGAAGGGGTGATGACGGCCGACTACTGAGCGGCAGCCAAAGAATATAACGCGTCTAAAACTAAACTTGTATTTACCGTCGGGTAAGGCCTACTGAACTAAGAAGCTCTCTTTTCTAAGTGACCTGGCCACAAATGATAGCTCAACGAGGTGGCTTATCACGTGGAAATGTATCGCAGCCAAAAATACTCTCACCGCGTGTTTCTAAATGTGGAGGGACAACCCGGAGCGCCCAGAGGAAACTCCACGCGAACACTGGGAGAGAGACACGCAAACTCCAAATGTACAGCAGCAGCAGCAAGCGTCAGTCAGGGTCGACTCCACGCGGTCTTCTATCGCAGGCGAGGCAGTTCACGTCTCGACACTCCGTCTGAGAGGAAGACCGCCGAGACGGAGCGATATCATCCAGCAGTGGAATGGCCATGGCTGATGACGATGAATCGAGCTGCACTTGTTTTGCCCAGAACTACCGAAACCCCCTCGGCGTGCCGTGCCGGAACTTCATAGGGCGCGCGCTGCTCCTCTCTTAACAGCACTTGCCCCAACAGCCTCCGCAGGCTACACGGGGCAGCTTTGCCTCGCTGCAGTGTCCACTGCGCACGGGCTCCTCTGTCGCCTACACAGGTGTCCGCGGCGCGCGGGGTCCTCGGGCCTTCTTATAGGTGTCCGCGACGCCGGCCTGGGGGTCCTCGGACCCTATATATTGGTGTCCACGGGGTCCTCTGTCGCCTACACAGGTGTCCGCGGCGCGCGGGGTCCTTGGGCCCTCTTATAGGTGTCCGCGACGCCGGCCTGGGGTCCTCGGACCCTATATATTGGTGTCCGCGGGGTCCTCGGGCTCCTACGTAGGTGTCCGCGGCGCCCGTGTGGTGCCTGCGCTCGCGGGGCAACATGGCGTCGGTGCGGGAGAGCGACACCTCGCTGTGGCTGCACAACAAGCTGGGTTCGCCCGACGAGCTGTGGACGCCCTCCAGCATCGTCTCGCTGCTCACCAAGGACGTGATACGCAACATCCAGGAGTGCTTCCACGCGCTCTCGTCGCCTGTGAAGCTCAAGCTGCTGCTCGGGGTGCTGCACCTGCCGCGCCGCACCGTGGACGAGGCAAGGCGCGGGCCGCGCGCCCGCTCGCCCGCGGCGCTCATTGGGCGCGCGGCTCTCACGTGGGCGCGCGCATTCGCCTCTCATTGGTGGGAGCGAAACACGGGGTGGGGGTGCTGACGCGGGAACGGGGGCCGTAGTGGTGGCGGTGATGATGAGAGTTGTGGTGTTGGTGTAGTGTTGGGAGTGGTGGTGGTGATAGGAGTAGTGGTGTAGTGATGGTAGTGGTGATGAGGGGTGGTAGTGGTGATGGGAGTGGTGGTGGTGATAGTAGTGGTGTAGTGATGGTAGTGGTGATGAGGGGAGGTAATGCTGATGGGAGTGGTGGTGGTGATGATAGGAGTTGTGGTGTTGGTGTAGTGATGGTAGTGGTGATGAGGGGTGGTAGTGGTGATGGGAGTGGTGGTGGTGATAGGAGTAGTGGTGTAGTGATGGTAGTGGTGATGAGGGGAGGTAATGCTGATGGGAGTGGTGGTGGTGATGATAGGAGTTGTGGTGTTGGTGTAGTGATGGTAGTGGTGATGAGGGGTGGTAGTGGTGATGGGAGTGGTGGTGGTGGTGGTGATAGGAGTAGTGGTGTAGTGATGGTAGTGGTGATGAGGGGAGGTAATACTGATGGGAGTGGTGGTGGTGGCGATGATAGGAGTTGTGGTGTTGGTGTAGTGATGGTAGTGGTGATGAGGGATGGTAGTGGTGATGGGAGTGGTGGTGATAGGAGTAGTGGTGTAGTGATGGTAGTGGTGATGAGGGGTGGTAGTGGTGATGGGAGTGGTGGTGGTGATAGGAGTAGTGGTGTAGTGATGGTAGTGGTGTTGAGGGGAGGTAATGCTGATGGGAGTGGTGGTGGTGATGATAGGAGTTGTAGTAGTGGTGTAATGATGGTGTGGTGATGAGGGGAGGTGATGGGAGTGGTGGTGATGGTTTTGGGGAATGGTGATGGAGATAGGAATTGTAATGATAACAGTGGTCATGATAGGAAGTGGTGGTGGTGGTAATAGGGATGGTTGTAGCGATTATGATCATTTTGCGCCCAGTGTTTGGACGATATTTGATATGACAATTAAACAGTACCTGGTAATGTGATGTCCAGTGGCAGTAGTGAGATTACAGATACACCATCACCCATAACTACAGGCTATCCATTTGACTTATCAGGTGCGAGCTTATACAAAAACCGCATCCGCTGTCTAAACAAATATTAATAACGGATCCTCTTGACATTTGCCGGCAGCATCTCTGACATTCACAACATCGCTCTCACAGCCCTCGACTGGCTCACCAACTTCCAACATCGACATCACCCAGCCCGACGAGAGAAGAATTAATAGCCGATTGTACACTTCCCTAAAGCTCATTACGCACGAATAATGAATGCACAATCCATCAGTCGATGCTGACATGTTTTTTTCATCACATCGTGAGGTCTCATCGAGTCTTGAGTGTCGTCTTCTTTGGTTCTTTCGGTAAAGTCACGTAGAATGAGAATAAAATAATAAATTGATAAAATAAAATAACACAATAATATTCTCACGACGTTTCGGCCACAACACAAGCGGCCTTCATCAGGTGAAGGGGGCGAGACTGTCTGGTAGGACAGCGCTGGAGTGAGAGAGCCACGTTCAGATCACGGCTTTTAAGCTGTGTGAGAGGAAGAAAGAGCCTTAGAGTCGCGGCAAAAAAAATCTTGAGTGTCGGTTTAGTCTAGCGATTTGCAGTGCGAGGTGTTGCACTCGGCGTCCAGCTTGGCTCTGGGCAGTCTGCCTCAACAAGCTGCAGAAATGACCTCTGCCAAACAGATGTTCATCTGACGTGCTCTGACGGTGGACTTGGGGGTGCTTTGTTGCTGCTGATGTTGGCCGCCAGTCGCTATTGGCTGTGCAAGACGTGCTTGAAGATCCTGAAGTCCCGTATCTTGGCATGCCTGTCCGACTTTATACACGTGTCTCATTGCTGGGTGGACCGCTATACGGTAGAACTTCTGTTTTTGGTAAATGTTCCTGCCAATGTGTACTCAATGTTTGGTGCTGTCATTGCTGGTGTACTTGTTCAGGCTGTCTAATATTGTTGTATATAGTCCAGGACTGCAGCGTAAAGTAATAAGCTTAGAAACTCTGTACACCACAATCTTCCCTGAGCAACCAATACTCGCTCATTCCAGCCTCTCTTTTTTTCGACGTTCCAAGGATGAGCTTTGGAAATGTGGAGTACGTTTTGTCAGTCTCCTCGTGACCTGTAAAGGGTGCTGCCAAGACGTGGTAACTTGTCGATCACCTTGATTTTGCTGCCATAAACAGTGATGTGAGTTAGACTGTAGTAAGGCTGGGTTTGGTATGGTTGGATCAAGTTCAGGATTCTGTTGGTGAGGCCATATTGCTTGTGTGCTCTGAAAAGTGATTGAGCAGATCCTGTAGGGCTTTTTCTAAGTTTACAAAAATGTTGCAATCGTCATCATCATCGTATAGGAGCTCTGATGATGATGATGACTTGCACACAAACTGCAGGGGAATAGCTTGTTCCACACTGCAGTGCCATTTCGAGTGCATATTCTGTATTGTGTGTGGTAGATAATGTGCACTTACGGCTATTTCTTACATACGAACTACATGGTAATAGCTAATACACGACGCGGGTGGCGATGCGAACTGTCAGTGAAACACTCACCCAGGCGTATTCTATACAGTCGTGACGACGGGCAGACCGGCGTCCCCGATGATTGCTCTTGTGAATCGGGCAGTTAAACTATCCATTTGCCTGGGTACCGCAGCGAGCCGTGAATTATGAAATTAAATTCGGGGGAATGTTTATGAGCGGTGATTTGTAAGTGGTTGTAACTTCGTGACGTTGATCCACACCTTACCAAGAGGAGTCAAATGTGTGGCTAAACACATCACAGGATCTGCAATGGCTGTGCAGCGCTGTAGAGTGCAGCACACCTCAACCACATCAATCGAGCAACAACCGGAATGCACCCTTGTGTTGCTCTCACTTGTGCTCTGTACACAGGCTGCACACTTGATGCCTTTTTCACTAGCTTGTACGGATGCTTGGAGATGTTTTTTTGCCAGATAATGGTGAATAAAAGCAGATTAAAAGATGGGACCGGAAGATGTTTTGGCTGTGGGTCAACCTCACAATGTGCTATGAGCTGTATAATATAAACTCTTCTCAACTGTGGAAAGTGGGTGCATTGCCCTCTCGATGTTTTTTCCTGCCCTGGTTGCACTTTATGGAAATTAAAATTAACATTTTCATTGTAAAATGTATATATTCATTAATATTAAATTGGTCCTTTAAGCTCATTGTGTCTATTGTTCATGCTTGTTAATATTTCATGGTACTTGTGAACTTTCTAAGATGCAAATGTTCCCCAATGTGATTCTTACACGTGAAGCCTTTAACACCACTGCTGAAACCTTGTAGATGAAGAGTGCCCTGGGAATCATTCTGACGCTGGCCCGGAGCGACCCAGACCTGTGGGTTCAGATGATCGCTGATGTCGTGAGGACATTCCCGGATTCTGGAACGCTCAACCTCGAGCTGGAGGAGCAGAACTCCAACGCGCAGAGTGTCCTGGGGGACCTCAAAGAGAAAGGTTTGTCTGATGCAGAAGCATCGCGCTGCACATGGTGCGTTACAAGAGGAATGATGGAAAACTTGCAGAACCTCATTCAAGCGACATCAGATGCCACCGTTTCACAAATTTTTTGTGGAGTGGTGGAATGGTTTCTTGAAAATAAGTGGCAGATACGTTTTCCAGTACTGCATTCATCGAAATGCATTGCCTCCCTTTTTTGGATGCATTACATGTCAGGGCAGCTTATATTACTATTATAACTTTTTCGTTGTAATTCATATCTGGCCTTGCCTAAATCGAGCAGACCTCTTGTATGAACATAACAGGGCTTCCATTCTGCATATCACTCACAATCAGAATCTTTATTTATCCTGGAGAAATCTGACGAACTTTGAGGCCCTTTTTCACAAATGTCCAGGAGGGGCAGGTCAGAAAGTTACAATGACTTGTGACTAAACGTGACATCAGGTATATATTTGGCTCTGAATCTTTTAATGCTCGGATAATTTGAGCACTCGTACAGTCTTTAGAAATCCAAAATGTCCTGCTTTACATTCCAAACCTGGCTTGCAAACACATGGAAACAATGAAACAACATTTTAATCAATTAACCTTTAATTTCGAATAGGAGTTGCACCAGCCCTTGACTTAACATGACACGACGCTGCCGAAGTGTTTCCATTAGAGTGTAGCTATGCGTAGTGCATCCATTACGAGCGTACCAGATTTCAAATTGCCAGATGCTGCAATGACATCCAGGGTTTCCTTTATACGCACGTCGCAGCTTCTTCAGCTCTGCTCCCTGTGAAGGCAGTGCAGAGACTTCCTCTACACGACCCCCTCTGGCCACCGCTACTTTGGCGACGGCAAGGAGCTGAGAGCGCGAGGGTGAGCTTGGCTTTAACAGTGCCGCGCGCCTCTGCTGTGTCGCAGTGATGGACTGCGACGCCTCCACTATGCTGCCCCTCGAGTGCCAGTTCCTCAACAAGAGCGCGCTCACCACACTGGTGGGGCCGCTCGCACCTCCCGCCAAGCACTTCCAGCTGCGCCGCAAGCCCAAGAGCGCCACGCTGAGGGCAGAGCTCCTGCAGAAATGTGAGCCCCGACGGTGATGTGCGGTGCATCCGCCCTCAATGTGTGCTGCAGCACTCGGGAGCGATTCCCGCTCATGGCCAACACCAGTGATGGTTATTTTAACCAGTCCTGGGCCTCCCCGAGGTAGGCTCAGCCTCAAATGAGTACCTGGTGCGGTGTGTAAACATCGCCACAAGGGAGACGAAGACGGCCAGGCGTGGTGCTGGCCACCGACCCCCTTGTGTGCCGTGCCAGGCCTTCATAGGTGCTGCTCGCTAACAGCATTTGCCCCGACAGTCTGTTCAGGCTATACGGGGGACCTTTTGTTTGTTGATGTGTGATGCAGACCTGGTGATGTGTGTGGGGTGCAGCCCTTGTCATTTAACTTGCAGTATACCATAATAGAGGTTTTTTTGGGTTAGATCGCGGAAATATATAAATGTGTCGTTAACCTGCCACCACCCGTAAGGGTTATCACAAAAATAGAACGTGGCCAATTCGTCACTAGTACAGCACACCGGTGTGTTGGAGAGCCAAGTCACAACATTTACAATCTGAGCATGACGTTGCGCCAGTAATTACAACTAGCTTCATTTGGTGGTGGCCGGTTTTAACGACACATTTATATATTTACGCGATCTAACCCAAAAAACCTCTTATGGATGATATTGGTCGCGAAAGCGTACGTATTAAACTTGCAGTATACCATTCTGCATGGTTGTGTCAGTATTATATTGACAGCTAAAGTAGGAGTAGTTGGATGTTGTTTGCTTTAAATTTGTTACTGTTGGTTTTTCATGAGATTCTTGATGGCTGAATTGTATAGTAAATATCTCATGCTCTGTTGCGTTCTTATACTTTAATTCGGTTTTGCTTATTAAGAGAGTTGCATTAGTTGGTGTAAAATAGAGGTGTAAGAGTTGACTACACCTGGCGAGCCGACAAATTGTGACGATTCAAGTTGTGTGGTCTGTTCAAGATATTGATATGTTAACTACCTTGCCTGGTATACAGGAGGTCGTGAGTTAGTTCCAAACCCTGATGTCTGTATATTTGGAGTTTGCATGTTCTCCCCGCGGTTGCCTGGATTTTTCTCCGGGTCCTCTGCTTTTATCCCTCACGTTTAGTAACGTGCATTTATTGTATTTGGCTGCGACTATAAATATCCACATGATCAGTGACTTCGTTGAGATTACATTTGTGGCCAGGCCACTTCTGAAAAAGAGCTATATCGCTCAGTGGGCCTTACCTGGTAAAATAAAAATAGTTGATGTTATCCCAATTCATACAACACATTCCTTTTAAGAAACATTGATTTCCACATACGCGATTCAATCTACGTATCATGAGCTTAATAATCATTGTTAATCGATGAGTCGATATAAATATGAGCTGTTGTCAATTTGGCCATGACGTTGTTTGACGGTGTTTATTTCACAGCTACGGAAACGGCGCAACAGCTGAAGAAGACTTCAGGAATCCCCTTCCATGCCAAAGGGAGGGGCCTTGTGAAGAAGATTGACACCACCAGTGAGTCCTTGCTTCCTTCATTATTCAACTATGCATCACCTCTACGCATTCGTTAAATCTTAAGTTGTTTTGTGTTAACGTTTACATTAACGATGTGCGCAAGCCAGCTCGGAATTTTTTTGGGCAATTTTTAGTGATTTAAACCTCCTATAAATCCCATGAATTGGAAAACATTTGCTTACACCAACAAGTGAATGAAGTCCCTGGACACCCTCGCAATTAATTATCCAGGTTAATTATTTTTGTATTCAAATATGGCAATTGATGAGTAAAGCATCTACATGTAACCACATGCCAAAGGTCAACATATACGGTAATATCTCGCCGGATGTGGGGGTTATGTTCCTGGAAAATCCCGTGTTGGGCAAAATTGCGTTTGAAAAATAATAGACCTCGTGGGAAAAATAGGTTTGTGTTCCTGGGTCCGAAATTATCACCCGCTCCCTCTTTGTTGAACTAATTCTACGTGATGTGTGGTGTTATTATTCATACCTGACAGTTTGTGGTGGTGGTTGTGGTTCACACCTGACCATGTGTGGTGGTGGTTGTTGTGCAGCGCCACTGAAAGGAATTCCCAAGCAGGCGCCGTTCCGCAGCCCCAGCGCCTCCCCCGGCTTCGGCCCCCCCGGCACACGCACGCCCCTTTCGGCGCGCACGCCACTCCGCAAGGAACGCGGTGTAAAGGTGAGACCCGGCGGCCCGGCTCCACGCTCGACGCGAACACTGCCCTCGCTGCTTTATCACGATGGCTACACCGTGCAGCACGAAACGCGATAGCGCGTGCCCCGTAGAGGCCGCATGATATTTCACCCTGGGATAACGGCGCGGGATATCAAACACAACGCGGTAATATTTGTTTTTGTAACATTGCAGACCCGTTGTCGTTGTCGATATAAAAATGGTGTGAATTGCTGCTGATTGATCAGAAATGTTCTGAAGTTTTTTGGGAAATCTCGAACTGTGCCGAGTGGTGACGTGAACCTGTGAACATGAATGGTCTATGTGAATGTGCAGAGGGTTGCCATGTGCAGCATCTGCCCTGCGTGTCCGCATGTACTTGCCCGTGTGAGTGCTCATGTGTGTGGCTGTGTGGGGAGTGTTTGTTCAGTGATTAGCGCACTGCGCTACAAATTCCGTGAACAGTTAAATGTCTGCTCACGACCAATAACAGAGTCCAATATTTGAACTGGTCCCGGGCCTCTCCTCGTGTGCCGTACAGGCATTCAGTGTTGTATATATTGTGTTGTGAAAAAGAATAAAATGCAAATGATACAAATTAATCAAATAATTTGACGTGTTTCATGTTAATTGAAGTTAATTGAGTGCAAGTGTAATGTGATCAATCGTATGTGTGCTTAAATGTGTGTAAAATTTTACGTGAAAATGTATGTATATGGTCAATGTGTGTGTGTATATAGGAGTATTATTAATGTTTGTGTGTTAGTTTGTATTATGATCGATAGGTGTGCATGTAGTTATGTGTATTATTATTATTGGCTTTGCTTCGTTCTCTCGGGGTGTATTCTTTGTGTGTGGTTATTTGTGATTAATGTGCGTGTGTGTGATGTGATGCTCGGCTTCATTGTCTAGGGGCATATCTTGTGTGTGTGATGGTGTGTGTGATGCTTAGCTTCGTTGTCTCGAGGTGTATTACCAATCATGATAATAATTCTTACTGATTATGATTCTCGCTTAAACACTTACTGGTTATGATTTTAGTGGAATTATGTCAGGTCTCAGGATTCGGATCTCGCTGCAGGATACAGTTCTTTTAATTAAGATCATTATGCATGAACTTAAGAAGGAACTACTCGGGCTCTTCTGTGTGACGCAACTTTAATTTCTATAAACACTCTAATAAGCGAACATACTTATGATCGGAATTGCCACAACAGTGCTCTTGCAGATATACTCATCGATCCGTCCAATTAAACCTCAATGGTTACGTTGTTGAACTAAGCAATAGAACAATAGGCTAACTCCTTATAGCGCGACAATACACAACGATAGGAAAGTTTAAAAAAATGACTTAATACTAAACCGTGCTAAAGAAACATGTGCCCAATGGCAAAAGGGGGCATCAGTGACTTAATTGGTAAGATTACATGATTAAAATAAATATCTCAAAACAATAGTATTCATGCGAGTGTGTAGATTCGTAACATATATGCTTATAAATGTTTAGTGTGACATCAATTCATTGGTAAGATTATGCAATTAATGAAATATCCGATTCAATAGTGTACATGCAAGTGTGTAGGTTTGGCTAATAGATGCTTATGAAATGGCTAGTGGGACATCAATGAATTCGCGGGCAAGATTGTATGATTAAAATAAAAATATCAAAACAATAGTATTCATGATTGTGTGTAGATTCGTAACATAGATGCTTATAAATGTTTAGTGTGACGTCAATGCATCCATTGGTAAGATTATGCAATTACAAGAAATATCTCAAAACAATCATATTTATGTGAGTGTGGAGATTCGTGACATAGATGCTTATAAATGTTTAGTGTGAATTCATTGGTAAGATCATATGATGAAAAGAAAACGAATGACTAAATACTTCTAAACGACCGTATTCATGCAACTTTAGGGACAGAACAATGCTTCTTCACGACCAGTTAATAACACTATGTAACATAATTATTGTTCCTGGGTGGTACGTGTTCTTTCGTAATTTCTTATGCCTAAAATGTATAGAAAATGGCTATTATTCCCCACAAGCTTTGCTTTTGTGACCAGGACAGTGATATTTTGAAATTTACCTATTTTCAATGAGAAAACAGGTGAATTTGTGTCTTCGTTCACATGAAGTCAGAAAAAACAACATATGAATCAAAATTAACATGTATTTATCTTAAAGTAATACAAAAATGGCTCCAAAAGATTTAGAAGTGAGTAGTTTTTCGAGATTTATGATTATACTGTAAATCACTTTAACGAATCAGCCCCCAAATTTAGTTTCCTATCATGCTCTCATTATACTGTCCTTGGTAGTGGCGTTCAAAGTCCAGTATATCCTGGTGGAAGCGCTCGCCTTGCTCCTCCGAGTACGCTCCCATGTTCTCCTTGAATTTATCAAGATGAGCATCAAGGATATGGACTTTGAGGGACATCCTTCAGCCCATTGTGCCGTAGTTCTTCACTAGAGTCTCAACCAGCTCAACATAGTTTTCGATCTTGTGATTACCCAGGAAGCCATGATCCACTACGGCGACAAAGCTGTTCTAAGCCGCTTTCTCTTCATTAGTGAGCTTCTTGGGGAATTCATTGCACTCCAGGATCTTCTTTATCTGTGGTCTGACGAATACACTGGCTTTGACCTTTGCCTCAGACGTCTTCGGGAAGAAGTCTTGAAGGTACTTGAAGGCTGCCGACTCCTTATCTACAGCTCTGACAAATTGTTTCATAAGGCCCGATTTGATATGCAGTGGCGGCATCAGCACCTTCCGAGGGTCCACCAGTGGCTCCCACTTGACGTTGTTCCTCCCCACAGAACTCGGTCTGCTCTGGCCACTCCCGCCTGTGGTAGTGCGCCTTGCTGTGTCCCTGCTGTTCCAAAGGCAAAGATCGCAGGGAAACTTGGTAAAACCGCCTTGGAGACCCATCAGGAATGCCACCATTTTGAAGTCTCTGATGACCTCCCAGCCGTACTCATCATACTTCAAGGCATCCAGCAAGGTCTTGATGCTGTTGTAATCCTCTTTGAGGTGCACCGTGTGAGCCAGGGGAAGAGAAGGGTACTTGTTACCATTATGGAGCAGCACAGCTTTGAGGCTCCTGGATGAGCTTTCAATGAAGAGGCGCCACTCATTCTGGTTACCGGCAATTACAGTTGCCTCAAACAGACTGGTCACATTGTGGCAGAAGCAGAGCCCATCTTGACAGGTGAAGAAGCTGCAAAAAGATTGGTGACACTTCCTCTGATCTGTGACTTGCACACTTTCATCACAAGTTCCACTGCTTGAGCCTAGACGTTAAAAGCTCGGCATTGGACTTGGTGATACCAAGATCTCTGATCAAGTCGTTGAGGTTTTTTTGGTTGAGGTAGTATGGGTTTCTCTCCTCAGCTCCACCTCTCAAATTGTCATCTGGATCTACAACGTCTTCCTCGCTCTCTGTCTTGCTGCTCTCTTCTAAAGACGGCTGCTCTCTCTCCGGAGGAGTGGGTATGGGGAGCTCATAGCAGTGTGGCACCGGGGTGATGGAAGGAAGGTCCAGATACGTGATAGCAGATGCATCCTTGCCAGTCCGACGTTTGAAAGGGTCCACATTGCAGAAGTATCAGTTGCTTGAGTGGTCAGTGGGTTCCCGCCAAATTCTGGGGATAGCGAACTTCATGGCTCTCTTTTCCCCTCTGTACCATCCTACAAAATAACATTTATTTCACCCATGACTAATGTGTAAAAGATTCTCGTAACATTTTTCAAGTATGATATATTTTTTCAATAAAATTTAAAATTGTAAAACATCTTAACTTAAAAAAACTTTTACAATTTAAGATTTTTTTACAAATTTTATAACATAAAATTCCGAGCAACAATTGTCCATCTCACCTTCCAGAGTTTTTTGCATTGCTCGTAGGTGAAATGAGGTGCCCTGGGTTTGTCTTGATCCCTGACAGGCATGCCGAAATATGCCTTGTAGGCCTCACACAGCTTAGCAGATGCTTCCACAGAGTACTTTTTCGCTCTTGTCTTGATGAATTGGCCGCAGACATAGCAAAATGTGTCTGCCGGATGTTTGCAGCCTCTTGATGCCGTTTCAGGAAATTACAGATATGTATCCACTTAGGCAGCTGGAACTAAACTGAACTGGTGGGCTTAAGGCCCCTGTATTTATACTGCTATTTATATTACTGAAAAGTTCTAGAATGTTCTAGAATTTACTCCAAGTTTACTCAGCACTGAATCTATCTGGAATGTTCTGGAAAATAGGTAAATTTAATAATATCACTGTCCTGGTCACAAAAGCAAAATTTGTGGGAAATGATAGCCATTTTCTGTACTTTTGAGGCATAAGCAATTAGAAAATAACACTACCCAGGAATAAAAAAAAATTGTTACACAGTGTAATTAATTCACCACTTTGGAACGGCAACCCTTTTCGAAACAAAAACCCCGTGGAAACATGTTATTGGTACCGATATGCGCGTTGTGTATGTGTTGGAGGGCAGTGACCACAAGGTCTAATAATATAATTGTAGCGGGTAGTATGGTTTGAGTTGTCCACATACTATCTCTGCTAACTGTGGTTCTGGGGTCCAGATGGTGACGAGCCTTAGTCCAGCGTTTTTCCTTGTACCGAAAATACCTCAGTTCCCCGTCTGTATCGCCAAGAATCCGTGCTTCTTATTCTGAAGTTATGTTTTGATATCCTGATGTTGAAGATATAGCTAAGCTTGTAACTCTACTGCTGAAAGTTTAAACTTTCCCCAGCCAGCTTGTAATGATTAACTGCCCGGAGGTGGATTTTGCTGTCTGGTGGAGGTCACTGGTCCCCTGTGGTTCTGTCTTTGTGTTGTTTTCGTTATTTCGTGTTCATTTATTTCGGCTTTCTCTGAGAAGACAATTTCGGGGTTTCCCCAGGAATTTTATTACCCCCCATTGGGCTTGCTGTGTTTTATTACATTTTATGACTTTCTCAAGCCAGCTTGTGAATGATTAACCTCCAGATGTCTTTTGTGTGGGCGAGGCAGGGGGGGGAGGTGATCCACCACTTGTTTGTGCCACAGTGCTAAATCCAGATCTAAAAAAACTATTACATTAAAAATAGGCAGAAGCACTCTTAATATAAGTTTTTGGAAAAGGTATATATACAACAATATGTCCTTCCTATCAGAATTTGCCCTAACAGTTTGTTAAATGTTATATATGGGATCTTTTTTGTGCCCATGTACATTCCCATCTGAGTGCTCCTGCCCTCGTGCCAGTGCTCGTGCCCTCGTGTTCGTGCCCTCGTGTGAGTGCTCATGCCCTCGTGTGAGTGCTCATGTCTGTTCATGCCCCCGTGTGTGCAGCTGTTGGACATTTCGGAGCTGGATGCGGTGGGAGCTGGCCGCGAGGCCAAGCGGAGGAAAAAGGCCCCAGGTCGGTATTCCCAGTGCTGGGTCTCCTCGTGGCCCCCGCTCCTCTCGGGAACGTCTGTCCACCGCCGGACAGTGGCTTCCCGCACGCCGTCGCAAACTCTCGCCATCCCATGATGACAATTCGTTTCACTCCCTAACATTAACTGATTTCGTCGCAACATCTCCGCAGTGGTCAAGCTTCGTGCTTGACCTTCGATGTGCGCGCCGGCTTGTGCGATGTGATTCTGCTCTGGCAGAGGCGGAGCAGGGGGAGAAGGCGGCTAAGGATGAGGCGGCCGTGAACCCCGTGACCCCAGACTACGCCGCTGGACTTGTGTCAACTCCGGTACTCGCCCTGCTCACACCGCATTTGCACTGCACTCTTCACACCATACTGACTCCCAACTCACTCACTCCAATCACACCGCACTCACACTTCTCTCGCTCACCGCACTCACACCTGACTGCACACAAACGCCACTCACACCACTCGCTCACACCCCACTCACTCACACCCCAATCACTCACACCGCACTCATTCCACTCGCTCACACCCCACTCGCTCACACCCCACTCGCTCACACCCCACTCGCTCACACCCCACTCACTCAAACCGCACTCATTCACTCACACCCCACTCTTTCACTCACACCATACACACTCACACCATACTCATTCACTCACACCCCACTCTTTCACTCACACCCCACTCTTTCACTCACACCATACATACTCACACCATACTCGCTAACCACATACACGACTCGCAACTACAACCCAACTCGCATGATGTGGCCACTTGACTTGAATGGTTATGACGTTGAGTATGAAAAATAATAAAAATGGCAAGAAAAGCAAAGGGTTGCTTTTGTAAGTGCAATGTGTGATGCAACGTCTGCTCGTGTGTGAACTGCCTCTGTTATTTAGTAATGTAGCAGCGCGAAAGGTGACTCCTATCGACCCTTTGTCTTGCAGAAACTGGGAGCACTTAGCAATGACAGCTCGATGCCTTCCACCAGCTACCTGCCGGCCACACCCAGCATGATCCCTTCCTCGTCCTACAACCCCAGCGCAGACGCCCCCTCTGGTGAGAGAAACTCGCCCCCACCCTGTCGCACAGCTGCATGCAAGAGTGCTTCTGTCGCGATTTCCTTGGTCTGTTCCATTGGAGATTTTATCGATTAAAAACATGCTATGCAAATTACATATGTTAGGCCTATCCACCCTGTTAATAGCTGCAGTGAATTTCCACCCAGATGAGTTCAATGCATCCTTGTTTGTGGAATGTAATGTGAACCTCAGCATTATACATCATCTCAGGCTGGATTCACATCTTGACCAAACAGCCCGAACACACAAACCTGGACATTTTGCTCCATCATTGTCAATGGACACATTGACATCTTTTTTTATTTTTTTTTAAATCGTACATGAAAGCGGCAGTAAACATGCATGCTCGCTCATACCAGCCATAGCGAAACTGCCCGGCTGTATATCGTGGTGAAGCAACGGTCCGCATGGAAGTACCGCTCGTCGTGTATCGTGCGGCTCACAGGCGCCAGTGGGGCAGCGGCCATACGCGACGCCCTGCAGTCGAACCGCACCCCCGAGGAGCCCCCCAGCTCCCCGGCCGTCCCCGCGCTGCAGAGCCCGTTCAAGCAGCGGGCGCCTCTCTACAGCAGTGCCCTGCCCTCCTCCGCGGCCGCCCCCGCTGCTTCCCCGAGCCCCACCACGCCGCAGCCCACCACCCCCACCCTCGCGCAGGCCCCGGCTAGCCAGCAGCAGCCCGTGCCCGTTCCACAGCCTCCTGCCGCCACCGCCGCCTCCACTGCCACCACTACCGTCGCTCAGCAGCAGCAGCAGCAGCAGACGCAGCAGAGCCAGCCTAAGAAGAACCTCTCGCTCACGGTGAGTGGCCTGCTCGGAGGTGCATTCCCAAGTCGGGGCGGAGCGTTTTCCTGGTCTGGCGAGTGTTGGGCGGCGCTCGTAATCGATGGTGGCACAGAAAGTGGTTCTCGTCGACTTTGGAAGAAAGCGGTCTTGAATTTATATCTGACCAGGTTTGCAGAGGTTGGTCTTCATTAAATAATATTAGAATTAATAATTTTCGCAATTAATGATCTCACCCCAAAGTTCATGGATTTCACTAGCAGGATACAGACTAAGAAAATTGAGGAACAATACATGGACTCATAAAAAAACACTGCAGCATCCAAGACATCTTGGTATTTTAATAACATCATAGTTTCACGCATTGTCTCAATAATATTTAGCACCACTTATAAAAGAAAAACCCGCTCGATCGACATAACACGCGCCACGTACACACCATATCGGCAACATATAGGTGTCCGAGTTTGTATGAAGTTGAGGCTGCAAGGCTCCTACATGTCCTGAAGTGAGATTATTAGCTGAAAGGTGAAAGGTGTGATGTGGTGATCTAGGTATAGCAGACCTACCCGCAAGGCCGGATCTCCTATCTCTCAATGCGAATATATCTTATTTGCACTAACAAGTGATGTCGAAGTGTGTCACCAGTCTCTATCTCAGCCACACGAGGTCCACAATCACCCGGTCAGGCTGCAGCTGGCCGCTACGGCCCCACCTGTGCTGATGAACGGCTGTCGTGCGTCGCTCCAGCTCGCAGTGCCTCTCAGTGTTACTCCCGGTGTCACGCATGGAAATGCCTTTGTCACACTCCGTTAAACATGCACCCTTCACCTTATCCTGAATAAAATGTGCATGCACATTAATAAGGCACACTCTTTAGTAAGCTTGCCATTAGCAGTGCTGCAGTTCATCATAACTCGATGAGCATAACTGCTCTTGAGTGCGCTCGAAATCAGTGGCTTAACGTGTATTGGGTTGGAGGCCGGAGTTGTGCACAACTACCAGCTCGACACATGTGTGAGGGGAGGGGCTCAAGGCCTGTGCATTAACAATCACACACGTTTAAAGTAGCAAGCGTTTGGCTCAAAGCATGCATAGAAACACACTTTAGACAGTGAGATGTATAAACTCTCGTATTGCATCAAACAACGTTTACTTTTAGGCAGTTCTGCTCGTGGGTTACGCCATTCTGCAGAGTAGCGACACAAAGTATTTTTTTTACGAGCAGAGCACTCGGAGCTTTGCAAGAGCAAAAAGCCGACTTGTGTGCTACGCAGTGCAGTTTAAATGGGAAATTTGGCCTCAACTCACGGAATTATTTCTTATGCTTTGTTTTGTACTTGTCCCAAAGCCAGGCCTCATGGTTCCTGCCTTCCTCGATGACTTAACACTCAGACAGTTAGCCGGAGATGAACTCGCAAGATACGGAGTCGCCACTTACAGTCGTAAAACGCAGATGCCCAGGCCTAGTGGTCACACCCATTAAGCAAGGAATAACAATCGGGGGTTATGGCTGTGACTTAACAGATGACCCATCTCAACATAGGTGTGTTCCGAAACACTCTTAGACAACATCACAATATTAAATTGGACAAGGCACACTTACAGCACCAGGATCAGGCGCTATAAATCAAACACACTATCACATTACTCCTCTTATATGAGTTTGGGGTTGCTTGCTGATGCCGTTGATGTTAGATATATATATTTGCAATTGTTAGTTTTATTCCATTCTTTTAAATCGGTAGTAATTAATTTCTGATTTGTAGTTATCTTAGCTGGCAGTGACATGGGCAGCCGCTGTCCACTGGCGCTCGTGTCTGGACCTTTGGGTTGTGTCCTCCCACCCGCAGGCCACATACCATCCCGGCCCAGAGCCTCCACGCCATTCATTCTCACAAAACAGAGCAAATACTCTCACAATAAATCCCGCAGTCACTGCTCCGTGAACGTTTAAAAATAAATGTAGTCGCGAGTCGGTGCCACCAGCCTGCATGGTGATCACACTAATGTAAGTTGATCGCTGGCCCCAGGTAGGCAAGCTTTTCTACTCTATGGCTTTGTTTGCACCACCGCCGAAAAGCAGATTGGAGCCGTGTAAGGGCAGCCCAACACGGCTCCTTGTCCCAAAGCTTCAAGGGCCGTGTGACTGTGGAGTCAATTGCTTCTCACTGTATCTGAGGGACTGAATAGGGGTATCACTGAAAAATGTGTACAGATAGGTTCTCACTATTTGCTTTACTGTCGTATACATGCTGAATACTTCTGCATACATGTTTTGTATTAATTCTCTGTCTTTGTTGGTGTTATGCTACAGAGAGAACAGATGTACGCTGCCCAAGAGATGTTTAAAACTGCAAACAAAGTTACAAGACCGGAGAAGGCCTTAATCTTGGGATTCATGGCCGGGTCCAGAGGTGAGTGGTGCTCCTGCCTGGGTTCACGCTGAGTGTGAATGTATTGATGTTGAACTTCTTTCGCACCGGTCGTAGCCAACTGCTTATCAGAGGTAAGGCTGTTGTAGTGATAATATATTATAATATGATCAAAACTTTTGACGCGATGACCAATGCGTGCTGCCATGCCGATAACTTGCAAATTCCATCCGTTTGGAGGCCACATTTAATGTCAGCCCAGCTCTCTAGGACCTCTGGCTTACTCTAGAGCAGTGGTATGTAACCTGGGGGTGCGAGGTGCCCTTTTCTGGGGGTGCGAGACATAGGCAGATTTTTTTAGAAGGTAAATTATCGAAACAAATTAAGCACGGGCACGTAAGTACAACTACTTGGTTTCATCAAACCCTCTATGTATTTATTAACATTATGCATTTTTTTTACTATTGAAAACAAAAGGGGTACAAGGCTGCAGTAATGGTTAAAAAAACACTTCTAGAGAGTAGTATGTCTTACAGGCACTCCCACTCTCAAAATCCACACGCCACTGCATACCTCGCTCAAGATTTATTATTTGTAGACATGCAGCTTGTGTTGGTTTCCAGAGTGGATGATCTCGGGGCGTGGTGGCACTGGTAGAACATGCACACAGAGAGAGAGAAGGGTGTCTTCAGAAGGCAGTACAGCAGCTAGTTTCTTCACTGATTGTGCAGAGTCGTAGTTCTTTCACGTATTTGTGAGATTTCTTTGAGTGTCCCAGTCTATTCCCAAATTAACCAAAGTTGTCACTTAGGTATGGGGTGAAACTTCTTTAACAGGATGCTCTTGAAGATAAGTTTTTATTTTATTTTAAGTGTGTTATACAATTCAGAAAAGATGTTGGTGCAATCACGGTCACGTGAATGGTAATGCTCAATCTAGGTTAATAATAGATAATTAATTAAAAAAGAAGTGAAAATGTGTTCTCATCGATTCAGGGGAATACTTAACAGGCAAGCCGGAGTAAAAACGTCACATTGTCAATGATTGCATTCTGTGCAGCAACTCTCAATGCAGCTTTGTGCCAGTCAGCCGCGCTTACCTTTCAGCGGCAACAGTCACAAGCGTCGTCATTGCATTTATTCAGCGTCCGCGCTACAGGGTCGCGCGCATGTGTGACCACCGGCACGTGGTGTCCCGTGTGTTTTTGCACGCAGAGAACCCGTGCCCCGACCAGGGCGACATCATCCAGATCAAGCTGAGCGAGCACACGGAGGTGCTGCCCAAGGCCGACGGCACCGGCAGCACCACCATGCTGGTGGACACCGTGTTTGAGATGAACTACGCCACGGGCCAGTGGACGCGCCTCAAGAAGTACAAGCCCATCACCAACACGTCCTGAGGCGGCGACGCGCGCTCACGGAGAGTTGCGTTCCCGGTGACGAGCCCCGTGCTAAACCTCGCCGTGCCCCGTAGCCCGGGACCGCCGTTTCTCCTGCACGGGCACAAAATGAGACGAACGCGTTGTGTAAATTGCTTTAGTTTCCTCACGCTGTAGGAACAAAAACACGAGACTTGACTGATTTTATAAATGTAGACTTCCTCAGAGGAGGGGGAGCGTCTTGACCAGTGTAGTCCAGTGGTCAGATGTGAGCCCTTGTAGCAGCACTGCCCTGTATCACATGCGATTGCTCTCGGACTCTAATTCTGATCGGACGAGCAGTCGCAACTGCACATGTCATTTCACTTACCGAAAATGTACTCGCGCAAGATGGTAAATAAGTGAATATGCCTTTGCCTTATTAGTTTTCTAAAATGGAAATGTGGTGACGTTAATAGTGCCGTCATATTTTGTAGAACGCCATTGGCAATGCCCTGTGTCCTTTCCCTGAATATTGTTTTGATTTGTTAATCCCTTCAAAGCTTAACAATACACATGGTCTGTGTTTGAATTTATTTTACAATGAACGTGTGTAATGCTGTTGACCTCCCGACGTGTGTATGGCCGTGGTTTCGTTACATGTTGTTTAACATTGCTAAACTGTCACATGTTTGTCAAAGAGGTGTCCTTGGTCGATATTTTTCAGATTGTTTCGATGATTGATATTTACCTCGGAAAATCTCTGGTATTTAAAACATCAGACTTTGGTTTAAAGGACCTTTTTGCATTTTTCTTTGACGCACCCTTGTGCCGACGGTCGCCCCGTTGCGCACGAGCGCTCGGGCGCGGGTTCCCTGCCGGCGCTCACCGTGGCGACGGCGCTGATCTCTCCCCAGAGAGGGGCACCCACGGGTGACGATGCACGCATTCGCCTGGCCTCGTTTCACCCGAGACCGCACGGATGCATCTGTGCGGACGGACGCGTGGTTTGTCGTGCGTCGCTCTGAAGCAGAGGCGCTCGGAGACGGGCAATGCTGAATGAAGCACCAAACCAAATCCTGAAAAAATGTGCAGTCATTGGTAACTTCGCTTCTCAAAGCCCGACGCACTTGCAGGTGAGAGCCCGGGATTCAAACCCAGCCACTCGGCTCTCCTGGCTTGGTGCTGTGATGCAGGCATTATCATGCAAATCCGTTCAGCCACCTCTAACATGGCACATTTATTTTTTCATCTACTTTAGCGTTTTAGCTCTTGTTATATGAACACCGGTTGTCCCATCTCTCAAATCCTTGCTGACCAACACCATTCAGTGGCTTGGAACACTACAAGTGAGCTGAATGAGGAATTAAACATTTGCGTAATGCCATATTAAGTACATTCCTAAGGCAGCCTGGGTGAGACCTGCGCATGCCGATATCTATTGGCTATCTCGCATGGAGAACGAGAGGCTGGTGCTGTGTGCATGAGGGGATTTATCAAGGCAGTTGGCGATTGACACTGATCACAGGCAGCACAAGAAAGTCACCCAAGGACTAAAGCATTAATCACGGGGAAATTTAATGGCTATAAAATTATTGTGATGATGCATGTACCTACAGGGGTAATTGAACTGCAAGGTCAGCACAACACCGCTCTAAGCCTCTCCTGAGTTGAGGGCCTTCAACCAAATCATGATACTGTACCATGTTTTTTTCCCCCATACTTTTCACAGTAAATGTACATAAAATAGCAGTGGCCTCAATTGTAGTGTGGTCAAGATAGTCTGAATTTGAGTCAAGTTAACAATATGGTAAAGTGGCATTTGAAATCATGAGTTCATGTTACATCTCCTTTATGCCGGCGTTGTCCTGCAGACGTTTAGTTTCATAGACGGCGTTCTGTTATGTAAGCGGTGCGAGTGGGTGCTTTGAAGAGGTGCTTGGCCGGCGTCCCTGTGCCGTGTTGTGTCCCAAGGAAGGCCCCTGTGGGCACAGCTGCCGGTTAGGACGGCCACATTTGTCAACGCTCTAGAGTTGGTGGTTAACGACAATGGCCAGACATTTCTCCTTTAAGCACAGTTGGCTACGTACGGTGTGAAAGAAGTTCAACATTGAGATGGTGGTCTAGATTAGTCGTGCTTTCACTAGGTGGTTTCAAGGGGCTTTGCACAGTTGTATGCTGCGGACTATGTTGAGGAGGTGACACTTGCTGTACTGGAAGCCCCTCTAGAATGTGGCGCAACAGCAGCCGTGCCCATTGCTGGAGTCAATAAGCAGACCTTACTGAAGCTGTATATAAAAGAGATGAGTGGAAAGTTAAATGGCGACAATAAAATATGTACATACGGCTTCAGTGGACTAAAATGACTGATCTCACGGCTGTTGGGCAATCTCTTCGTTATCTCAAAGCATGCTTGGCTCATTGGGTTATGTTCTGCAGAAAGCTATTCAATGTATGTTGAACTTCACACCATACGTAGCCAACCGTGCTAATCATAGGTGTGTACAAATGCTCAACCGTTATCGTGCGCTAATTTAAATCGGCAGTGCTGAATACACAAATGTTTCATACTCTGGTTTTATTCGGTAAAGTCACGTAGGTGAAATAAAACAATTAAATCACGACGTTTCGGAGGCAATGCAAGCTTCCGTCTTCAGGTGGAAGTCACAGCAGAATATCTGTGTCAAGTGCACAGCTCTGAGACGATCGGGTTTATATATAGGTTAAGGGGGGGGGGAGCCAGAAAGGAACGTGGGTGGGTGGGAGGGCTGAGTTAAGAAGCCTTTTGTTAAGCTGCAGGGGGTTCGGGGGGAGGGGGTGGTGGACTGCAAACACATGCGAGTAAAACCCTTTTGTTATGCTGCAGCAGGGTTCGGGGGGAGGCGATGACGTGCGAGTACGCCCCATTTTTGAAAACGAAAGAAGCAGCTAAAGTTTGGCATACCACCACTGAAATTTGTACAAAGTTTGGCATCCCACCACTGAAATTTGTACAATTTCAGTGGTGGTATGCCAAACTTTAGCTGCTGCTTTCGTTTTCAAAAATGGGGCGTACTCGCACGCCATCGCCTCCACCCGAACCCCCCTGCAGCATAACAAAAGGGTTTTACTCTCATGTGTTTGCAGTCCACCACCCCCTCCCCCCGAACCCCCTGCAGCTTAACAAAAGGCGGCTTAACTCAGCCCTCCCACCCACGTTCCTTTCTGGCTCCCCCCCTTAACCTATATCGTCTCAGAGCTGTGCACTTGACACATATTCTGCTGTGACTTCCACCTGAAGACGGAAGCTTGTGTTTCCTCCAAAACGTCGTGATTTAATTGTTTTATTTTATTTTACCTACGTGACTTTACCGAATAAAACCCAAGAGTATGAATCCTTGCAGTCACGAAAGCTTCAAATCTACACAAAGGTTGCCCGGGACTTGTGAACTCCTCTGATCGCGTCCCCAGTAGTGCAACTAGATATAATTTTTGGGTTTATACACCGAGCCCATTGTGCACATGTCTGGGGTAGCAGCAATGAGTACTTTGCCTCGCCTCTTATGAACTATAAGCATTGTTTTTTAACCAGGTCAGGCCCACTGAGCTATACAGCTCTTTTTCAGAAGCGACCTGGCCACAACGCAGTGGCTTATGTGGAAATGTATAGCAGCCAAATACTCCGAACGCACGTTGATTCTAAATGTGAAGGGGAAAACTGGTGGACCTGGAGAAAATCCACGCGACCACGGGGAGAGAGAGGCATGCAAAGTCCAAATATACAGTCAAGGGTCTGGATCGAACCCATGCCCTCCTGTATACAAGGCGAGGTTGTTAACATCTCGCCACCGCGACGCCCTTGAATGCCCACACACAGCCACTAGGGGCACAGATACACGAGCAATTCCAAGATTGTGTGAGAGAAGTACACAATACCGAACTACTTAAAACGTACGGAGATGTTTCCTGATGAAACTACACTTAAAATCAGTTAACACATAGGCTTTCGCGACCAATCTAGTAAATGTGTTTGGGTTAGATCGCGTTATTTATAAATGTTGCAACCCTCCACCACCCGACACGGCCAATCAGTAAAAATGTGTCACGTTGACAAAAGACCAAATAGTTCACTACTTTAGCCCACCGGTGTGTTGAGTGAATCCACAACATTTACAATTTTTGAGTACGACGTTTCTCTGGTAATTACATCCAGCATCATCGGGCAATTTGCCAGAATAGTGAAGCCCTTCACCTGCTCCCGGTCTTAAATAGAGCAGCAGCAGGGTGACGTCATCGTTTAACCCAATCAGGCGCAGTGATCAGAGGCGGAGGTTGGTATTGTAATTATATTATAGATTAGTAATCAGTTAATTGTTATGATTAGTAACCAGTTGTAGATTAGTAATTGGTTGTAATGTGTATTATTTAATAACTGAACCCATTCACTATACCCAATTAGGTGCACCTGTCTCTGCTTGTGTGTCTGTGTTGTCTCTCTCTGCTTGTGTGTCTCTTTGGTCTCTCTGCTTGTGTGTCTCTCTGGTCTCTCTCTGCTTGTGTGTCTCTCTGGTCTCTCTCTGCTTGTGTGTCTGTGTTGTCTCTCTGCTTGTGTGTCTCTCTGGTCTCTCTCTGCTTGTGTGTCTGTGTTGTCTCTCTGCTTGTGTGTCTCTCTGGTCTCTGCTTGTGTCTCTCTGGTCTCTCTCTCTGCTTGTGTGTCTCTCTGGTCTCTCTCTGCTTGTGTCTCTCTCTCTGCTTGTGTGTCTCTCTGGTCTCTCTCTCTGCTTGTGTGTCTCTCTGGTCTCTCTCTCTCTCTGCTTGTGTGTCTCTGGTCTCTTTTTTTACGATCAGAGGAAACAAGAAGATGCTCGGTGTAGTCGGCACTTTGCTCCGTTCATCATCTCGTTTTTTTATGCTTTGCTTTATGTAACCCCCCCCCCCCCCCCCTTTTAAATGAAATACCCAACAAATATTTTTTCTTTTTTTGCTCTCCTTACCCCTTACCTTTCTCTCTACCCCCCTCTCTGCCTCTCCTCTCTCTCTACCCCCCTCTCTGCCCCACTCTCTCTCTGCCCCCTCTCTTCTTACTCCATTTCGCTCTCTCTCGCTCTCTTTTTTTATAACTACGACAAGTGCTGCACCTGCACGCAGCCCTTCCCACAGTCCTACGGCCTCCGGCGGGTAGCTCAGATCTGCGTGCAGAGCTCTCCGTCATCTGCCACCGAGCACACGGCCTCCTCCAGCGCCCACTGCTCCTTGAAGGCCGGCACGGCGTGGGTCAGCCGCGCATGGCGGAGCTCCAGCCATACCCTGGCTCTGACCAGAGCGCGGAAGATGCCCAGGCTGCTGGCCGGACGTTTCCCCTCCAGGGCCACCTTCCTCGCCCTGTATATGGCGAGCTTGGCGTAGCCGAAGAGCACGTTGACCAGCCCCTAAAGATGTTGGGGTCCGTCGCCCTTGGGTATCCAAAGATGAGGACCGTCGGGGAGAAGTGGAGGCTGAACCTTAGGAGGATGTTTCTCAGGACCTTGAACAGCGAGTCCAGGCTCTTGCACTCCATTTATTGGTGCGCCACCGTCTCCACTTTACCGCAGAACCGACACTCCAGGGATGTGTCGGTGAAGCGTGCCAGGGAGACATTGGTGGTGACGGTGCCGTGGGCGATGCGCCAGCTGAGGTCGCCGATGCGGTTGTACGTCGGGCTGGAGTAGAGTTGCCGCCAGCGAGGCCTCTCCGGAGAGATGCAGGGCAGGGCTTTCCTCCAGGCATGGTCCTTGTGGCTCCTCAGGGTGTCCTGTTGGTTGAACCGGACCATGTAG